ATGTCAGTGTATGTATTTTCAGCTGAAGGTCACTGTCTCAAGAAGCAGCTTGAGGGGAGGAAAGAAAAAGAGAGACTGAACTGTGCTTACATGAAAGCTCAAACTGAAGAGTCTGCAGAAGTGATGTATATATCTGACTGAGACGTGTTAGTATGGTTAAATGTTTAGCTTGTGAAGAATACACAAAAAACGAATCATAAAGCAGCGTGGCCAAAAACATCAGCCAGAAAAAGAGGCATACTGATATTTCACAGCATATGTAGTCAGTCCAACAAGCATGACTGGCCCTTTGTGGGCATTGAATTGTAGGAAGATGCAACACTGTCTGTAAGCTGTGCCGAGACATGAGCTAGTATGAAGGCAGACCTATGGTGAAGACCTGCACACCTGCGCTATATAAATATTAAATGAGATGTTTACTGGAGAGCACATACAGTAGGAAGGCCTTAGATGTAATGGGATTGTATTACATGAAACATCTGTGACAGAACAATTCAAACTAGATGAACCCAGAGACACACCAAATGTCTTCCATACATTCATACTTTTTACCCTTCTTGTCCGTAACACCCAGGCACAGTTTATACACGGACACTGTTTAGATTTGTATATCAATATTTATGTTGGTATAGACAGAATAGGCTTAGAGTAAGTAGACGATCAGTGTAGATGAACAGCTGTTCCTGTCACCCTCACTTCATCTTTGCTGAAACCAAAAGCATTTCACTGATCCCTCTCTTGCCTGGGGCCTTAGAGCTCCATCTAATTAGTATTCAGTAGTGTGTTTCCAATCTTTCTATATTACTTCCCAAGGCACCCAACAAAGATTTCTAAACAACATTCCTTTACATGCAAGGTCCTTTGCAAATAAAAAGTGACTAAGCAAATCTAACAGTAGTCATTCTTATCTAATGTCTCAACGAATGTCAGTGAAATATGTTGTTAAGCTTCAATACATGAGATGAAGTTTGGGGTTTCACTCTGGGTCTCAATCCGAGCATTGACCCATTCTAAAAGGGGTCACAAGGGGGATTAGGCAGCTCCTTTGCCTCTTTGAAAAAAAACAACTAACTGGATTGTCTTCCTTCCTGAGTCCTGAGCCCAAAGGAGGACCAGTTGGGAAAACACGTTAAAACTCATATCCTAAATCCACATGTTCTCAAGTCGTCTCACAAAGAAAGGCCCTCAAACCTATTTGAAGTTTTATCTCACCTCAAAAGTCATGTCAGTGCAATTTGACAGTTCTATAAATGGATGCTTTAACCCCAGATACTTATATAGCATTAGAGCACAATTGGAGACTTAAATTGACACATACAAATCTTGCATGTTTAGATCATCAAAAATCAGCAAGCGCAAAGTTCAGTTGAAGGTCCTTGGGGCTCATTTTTTCTTCATCTATCTTTTTTGGCAATAAGTGAATGGGGTATGGATTAGCTGTGTTCACAGAAAAAGGAAAGCTTTATTAAACAGCCTTAAGATAGGTGCCTGTAGGGATACTAAACTCCTTTGTTATCCCCTATTAAAATGCTCTGCTTCAAAACTTCCATAACATCCCATGGCTAATTAAATCCTACTGCCCAAATCAAAAATAGTCAGCTAGTTAAAAAATGCAAGCCCAGTCTAAAAACACAACAAGCAGCAGGGGAATGGGAAAATAAACACTATAACATATTGATGGGGTTATCACACCGGAGGAGTAAATGAAGTTGACTGAAGCCCTTTTTTTTGGTGTGAAATCTATGTGAGTTTTAGATTACACACTTCCTGGACTTTCAATCCAAAGTGTGTGAACTGTGTCCAAAACAGGACACCATTGTACCTCAGTGGGGTTATTTTTCCCTTAGGGACTTATAGAATTGCACATTTCCTATGCTCAGTAGGTGCAAGTGATGTGGTTGAGAGTAAATCTAACTGAACTCTGTTTCCTTCCTTAACCATAGGAGGGAATTTATTAAGTATCTTGACTGTTGTTAGGCCTCTTTCTTATATCTTTAAAAGGGAAGATAACTTTGTTATCTACTAATTGTACAATATGTTATACAAATGTCGTAGTCACACACCATAGTTTTAAGAACTTTGCTGTCCAATTCCATACTGAAACTGATATGCATCCATTAGACATTTTTACCTCAACACACAGACCTGCTTCATCTGTGGCATATCTTCAAAAATTGAAATTGGATGATTTGGGGGGATGTTTTCAAATTGGGTCAGTCCCTTGGAGATCTGCCAGAAGTATGACAGCTAGAGACAGACACTATTTCAATCAGCTCAGATGGCGGCAAACCTCATTTATTGGCTCTGACTGTCTAAAACTGTGTTCATTGGCACTAACATTTTCAAATGTGAGTGTTTTGATTTGTCTGCAAGCTTGCCTACAGCAAAGTGTAAATAAATGTGAGTTTTGCCACAGCGGCGTTGTCCTAACATACAATCCCTCCTTTGTACTCCACTTCAGCTAAATTCCACCATTAACACACAACCAAATCTACAAACAGATCTCACAGGAGCACAATGTTGACTTCAGTTCTGTTGAGTTTGTTGCCCTATGCTTCCTGGAAGGCTAAGATACATTAAGTGAGATGGAGAGAAGGGGTTTATACCAAATAGTTTACTGGTTCTCATAAGTTCTGACGTTTAAGGGAGAATTATATGAGCATGAGATCAAATTCATCAAAACACAAAGGACCACAATTTGCACCCTGGAGCAGAGAAATAGACCTCTTAAAGTGGTGTAAGGAATAATAGCATTGAGATGGAGTCATCTTCACAGTCTTTAGTGTTTCAGGTTTGCCAGGTACAATCATGTTAATGGTATTTTGAATGTTAATGTAATTTATGAAACCAGCTTGTGTTTTTAAGAATTGATTAATAACAAATTAGCCCAGTCTGGTTGCTGGAGATAAAAGTCAGATTAGCTAAAAACAAATGACAATTCCTGTAATAACGCTGTAGACCGATGGGATATACAGAAACCTGGCATCATTTAAGTCTGCAATAAACCAGATAAACCACCAGGGATAAAATGCAATGAGAAAATGACAGTAATCCATCACCAGCCCATAGCAACAGACAGAGTTGTAATGAAAAGGTTGTGCTCATCACTTCTTTTCAGTAGTTTTTTGAAGTAATCATCCACATGAACACTAAGCAGTGATATGGGACTTTATAGTCACGCTATTTCAAGAATTAAACAAACACCAATCAATTTGTCGCATAGCAATTGCAGAATTATTTCAATATATTACAATTTGCTGTCAAATATTTACAATATGTAGGCAAAGGATATGACACAAGATTAAATTAAAAAGTGTTATACTGTTTCAACATGATATCCGATATATTGGCAATTGTTTCACAAAACAATTACATCATGACTTAAAATAATGACCCAGCACATTTACCTACTTTGGCAAAATCACAATAATTGAACTTCCTTTCAAACCCCAACAGAACCTAGAAGGATATCAACTTTGCTCTGGATAAGCTGAATGGCACAAGAAAACAAACTGTGTGTTCCTGTCCACAGTTTAAGTCAAACAAATGACCTCTCAAAAATACAGAAACAAGCTTTGAGCAGGAGAAAAACAGGATCCTTCCACCAAGCCAACTGGGAAACGAGTATTTGACTGATTTAATAGCCTTTAATGTTGGGGCTACCATTAATCACACAACTTCAATGTAGTATTGTTCTTGCTTCTTACAGAGAAAAAGCGAGCAAACAAGAGAAACACAATGACCGCTTGTCTACTGCACACAATAAAAGTGTCAGCAAAGCCAAATGTATTAGTTGAACCATTTGATGTGTTGTTTTGAAAGCCAAAATCTGTCTCTTGTATTACATTGTCCTACTTATAAGGCATTGCTTTCTTGATAAAAATGAAAAAAGTTGTTGTATTGTTAATTTGGTGCTGCAAACTGGTGTCTGCAGAGCACTGCTTGTGGTTGAGTGAAACCCTTCTCAATAATATCTACCAGAAAGAATGCAGTTATGAGGGCATAAAATGTATCCGTACAGCCCCCTGTCTGGAACAAGTGGGGCAGACTAGGAGGACCATGAGAGGGCGAGTAGTAGTTAAACAAGGGAGTTATGGTGATTCCCAATGATCGAACGCAAAGGGAGAATTTATTTATTTTTTAAGTAGGCTTTCTGTCTGTCATTCTATGCCTGCTATATCAGATTGGTGTCAGCACGATTCACTGTGTATGCTTGTGTCCTGGACTGCTACAGAGCAGAATCCACACACGCATCTTTGGTGCAAAACCTAATCGATGTTAATGCAAATGTAATGCACAGGCTTATTGGGTTAGTTCAACACTACAGATGTGTCAGCCTGGTACTGTTTGGTGGCTTTTGCTGATTTTCAAACCTGAATCCTGCAATGTAGTGTTGTTAAGGACATGTGAAATGTGACAAAAAAAACTTCACAATGCGGACTGTGACTTTGTAAATCCTGTCCTCTCTGCTTCAATAATGCAATCATGCCATACATCTCTGTCACCACATGGTCACACCCCTCCCCTGCAACCTTTACAATCTCTTTCTCACACACTCTCTCTCTCTTTCTCTCTCACACACACACACACCAAGGCTGCACACCTATCTAATAGAGAGTGTAGAGGTCCTGCATGGAGGATGTGAGGAGAATTTTAATAACCCTCTTCCTGTCCTGCTAGGCTCTGCCACTTTCCATTAACAATGCAGGCAGAGATAATTGCTCTCACCTATCCGATGGGACCCCTGTGTGTTAATCCATATGCTGATGTATTTCTGTCTCATTAGTCATGTGCACACTGTGTTTTTAGATAAAATATTGTGTTAACAACAGAGCCTTTAATTCTAGTTCAACTGAATCCTGTTACCAAACGTGTCTGAGCTGCACAGAAACAGAAAGGGAAATGAAGGAGTAGAAACACATTTGAAAAGGACACTACCAAGCAAAGATAATCACATTTTACACCGCCAAACATCGAAACAATGCACACGAGCCACTCACTTGATGAAGTAGCTAGCTCCTTCGTCCGTGAAGCCCTCTTCCCATCCTCTTGGCAAATCTATAACACGAAGAAAAACACAGTGAACGTCCCGCCACAGACAGAAAGCACATTGCAGCAAGAAAAATGTCCCCTCGGTATCCAACAAATCCGATAGTTTGTCGCGTACCTGACCGTATCATGTGCCCAGAGTTAACAGGTTCACCAGTGCGTGGATGTAGCCAAGTAGTACTGTGACTTTTATCACTGCAAGAAAGACACCTGTTACTGAGCGATAATAAAACAACTAAAATCCTTAATAATGCCCCATAAAGTACCAGGCGATGAACAGCTGAAACCCCTCACTTAATAAAGAAGACCCGGCCGTCTCTACAAACTCCATAGGACCAGTGGTCAGGTAGGGTGTCCCGTCCAGGCGGTGCCGCCATGATCTCTCCTCTACGGCTCGCCTAGTCCCCCCTCTCCCTCTCCGCACACTTTTCCTGGGAGCCCGGATACAACCACCGCTAGGGCTGCATAGTTTTTTTTAAAGGGGAAGAATACCAAACTGGACTTCTGCTTAATTATAATTGACTTGAGCATAGGGCTCAATAGTTCCCACAAGTAGCAGTGAGGTAGATTCTGAAATAAAGGCCAGATCTCTACAAGAGATTTATAAAAAAATATATTATATTATAAAAAAATGTAATGTAATACATGGAACCCACTGCATTGAAAAGTAGTGTAGCCTATTCCCCAGGGTGTAGTAGAAGTGCACTGGATTAGAGCTTGCATTACAACTGTGACATTTCAGGGCAATTTGGAGCACACATAAAGCATACTTTAAAGCAATACTAAAACTATGTCAAGAAAATGAAAGTCCTTATGGGATACTTAAGAATTACAGGAATTCCCTAATTAAACCAAAATAGACCATTAGGCTATGCCTACTTTTGTCTTTATTGTCTAAGTATTACGATATGAGATGTAATTTTGTGAGAGAGAGAGAGATATATGACAAAATATGGATAAAACAATAAACCCATATTTCTAACTGAAATATTTGATCACGTACTTGTTATAGGAGACAGGTTTGAGCCATTTCTGAGGAGACAATTATATATATATATATGTATATAATTAGAGAAATAAACATTGCAATTTACCCTCCTCTAATGTTATGTACCCTATATTTGCCCTTATGTTCATGGCAACTAGCAATGCATTAAGACAAGGTTGGGAAAAGGCACACGCACACTTAAGACGTATGGAAAGAAACTCTAAGACACATCTGTGTGTGTTAGGAATGAGGAGGAGAGGGAGGGACTGGCACACATTCTTTAGTTATGCGTATTACCTTGAGAGAAAGATAATTTCAGTACAAGGCCTTTCACTAAAAGTGTGTGTGTGTGTGTGTGTGTGTGTGTGTGTGTGTGTGTGTGTGTGTGTGTGTGTGTGTGTGTGTGTGTGTGTGTGTGTGTGTGTGTGTGTGTGTGTGTGTGTGTGTGTCAGAGGGGAGCATGCCTGCATGGGTAAATTAATGTAAGTCCATGCATTGGAGCTTTAGATGTAGTTTGTGAGCCTCACACATCACCTTCACTGCAGTCACACTTTGAGGACGGAGAGCTTCCTGACCATGACACATTACAATAATGCTTACACTGCATCAAACAGACCTGCCCAATTTACCAATGTACCCATAAATTCCACTTGGGCTATGTGAGGGCAAGCAATGTTCAAAGTCACAGCAATGTTGTCACAGGCGTAATTTTGCTGAGCATCAAGCCCCAACAGAGAAGCAGCAATGATTCACTTTGTCATAAGTTCTCTATTATATAACTGCATTGTCATTAATGTGATATAACATTATGTGCTGAAACTGTGGAAGAGCAATACCTACACAAAGTGCTGAAATAACCCATCCTCCCCCCTTGTGTTTTCTGCTTAGTGTAGATTACAGTGAAATGTGCAGTCCCATTGTGAGAAGAAATATTGCTATATGGGGTGCACACACATCAGTGAGCAGAGAGCATTTATCAACATTATAAATATTTGATCTAGGATTCCCTTTGGGTGGTGCTTTGTTGAAGCATTCTCCAGTGGTTTAAGGAACTGCTCTTCAAAGATAGGGAGAGATAAAAAAAATCCTCTAAAAGAAACCATCATGATGCAGCTGCGGAACAGAAACCAATTCACTGTAAACCTTCTTGTTATCTGCACATCAGAGGAGTCAAAGAACAAACGGATTGTTACTGCTTTAACGTGTTTCTAACCGTATTAACTTTCAAGTAAATAAGATCTGCAGATGGGATTGAATGGTAAAACTGAAGTGTAGAAACATAACAAAAGCACATGTTTTAATACGAGACAAAGGGGGGAAATAAATCGCCTTCAAAATCACCACATCTAATCCCAATTGAAAACCATAGGGAGACATGTTTCAAAGTGCCCTCAATCATCATCATTCAGTGCCAAACAGCAATAAATCTGTTTCGGCAGATCATAGTGGCCTAACACTATACCAAGAGACCCGTTATGTACATGTTGGTTTCACACGTGTAGTATACTGTACTAAATATGTTTTAAATTGAAGGAAGGCACATCCAATGTGCAAACCATAACATTATTCACCATTCCACAATTGCAACAGATCTGGAGAGAAAACACGCTGCATTTTGGGGATTCAGTCTTCTGCATTGTAACGTAAATGGGAGACCTGCAGATATCTCCAACGAGCAGCAATATTGTCCAGTATAATCAACAATAGCACCATATTATTGATAATGCTGTACTTACATTTTATATAATGTGGTGCTCACTTAACCAGTTTTGTATTTTTCAACCGGTCAGCAAAATTAGGTATAGGGTTTCTGGAACATTAAACATACTGCAGTGTAATCATTCGGTATCCCCCCTAAATTGCGGTTATTTGACCTTGCCATGATTTATCATCATCCCCTCTACAACCCCCCCTCTTTATACATACTAATTCATACACAAATGCACACATAGTTGATGCGCAGTCCAGTGCAGCTCTGCAGCACGGTCTCTGCTGCTGCTGATTCCTGCCTCTCGGCTGCCAGAGGCTCACAATGCAGCAAGGTGACTCAATGTTATTGTCTTCTCCTTAGAGAGTCTCCTCCCGCTGAATCACAGCTTACCAAAGGTGATGAGCGGAGAATGTAATAAAGGATCTCTTTGGGTTTTTCTGATCTTCAGGTCTTGAGCACAGATAAGCTCAGGTCCTAATCTATCTGGCAGATGCCAGATAGATTAGAAATCAATAGCATGTGTGAGAAATGCGTTTTCTCAAATTATCTCTTAATCTCTGCACAGAAAGGTAGCCTATATAAATGAGTGCACAGGTGACTCAAAGTGGCTGCATTATTAACTAGAAACTGTGTGGGGTCATATTTTTCAGACAGTAGTCTCCTGTTCATTATGCCCTGAGTTTAATAATTTAAGTGCTGATCTTCCCCAAATTCCTTCCACTTCTTATGATGGTAGACAATGATAAATTGCCACCCAGCTCAAACTAATACACTGACATCTACAGGGCATGGATATTATTTTTGAGTAATAAGCCAACAGCTCCAGATAAAACATTTATTCATTGTCCTGTTTGACCAGCCAAGGCTCATAAATAGTGTTTTAGAGGTTTTATTCTAGCACCCAAAGTTCCAGCAGAAAGCAAATGTTTTTGAATCTCCTGTGCAATACAGTAATGGCCTTTATCTAAGATGATCCTAGCTGTTGAAAGAAGAAAGAGGGTCATCTAAAATAAAGATTTGAACATTACATGACATGTTAGACGCTTTTATCCAAAGCGACTTACATACTCAATACTGTGGGCAATCCCCACAGGAGCAATTTGGGGTGAATTGTCTAGCCCAGGGACACAACGACATGCTGACTGCAGTGGGGTTTGCAGTGGGGTTTGAACCTGTGCTCCCCTGATCCGAATACCAACGCACCCCACTGCGCCACACGCCTCCCCGAACACAGTTTAAAGGTTTTCTCATTTATGTTTGGAATAAAACTCAATAAATGTAACAACTTCTGCAGGTGCAGGAGCATACAGGGACAAGTTGGTTTTAGTTGTCCACTCATTGTTTCCTGTGGCTCTCTTAATAGTTGACTATAGTTCAAATGCTATGTTCAAATGTCATGGACTTCCAGTTCTACATTACTGTGAACAGACAGCACAATAGCACCCTCTGTTGGATAGATGGGAGATTAACTTTGTGTTTGCATACAAGTATGTTTTTTTTATTTGGAATCAAATTGAATATACATACAATATAAACTCTAGTCTGCAAATAAATGTAATGCTGGGCTGATCAAATCCAATCATTTTTAAAGGGTAAACTGCTGCACAGATAACGCTCATTTTATCAAGTGCTTTACAACTTCAGCTGTTTAATCTTTTGATTATGCACATGGATGCTAAATTGAGTTTCAAAGGTGGAAAAAACTGATTACAGATTACAACCAAGACGCAATACTAATGGATAACTGGGTCTTGGTATTTGTATATAATGCATCAAATAGAAAAATGTCGACATTTTTAAGATGACTTACAATTTATTTGAGTGATTTTAAAAAGCTTCAAGAAGCAATGGTTTCATCCGCCTGTGCAGACTTCAGAGTGCACCAAGAGGAGTGCAGCAACCATCTGTGAGTACAGCCATCACACTCCATGTAAGATCTCCACAGCGAGCAAGGCTGGGTGAGAGGTGCATCTTGACCCATTAATCACAGACTGCTGCTTAATGAGTTGATTAAAGATTTGTTTTTAAACAAACAAAACATGTGCAATTTGGAGATAATTGTAGGATACTGGGGTGTTTATTATACAGTGGTGTGGATTTACTACTTTCTTCTAAGAAAGGTGCTATAGAAATAATCAAATGTATTATTATTTTAACATTAGGTAGTTATCTGACTCTTTCCATTGCAGTGAAATATTAGAACATTTGATGTGTACTTGATTTGATACAGATGTATTCTACTATTGTGTATTACACTCGGATAAAGACTTGATACATCACAAAGTGTGATGCATTTTTTTGTATAAAACTGTGCACCGAGAAAGAGCTGAAAGATCATTCAGCATCACATCACTGCATCGTGTGTATGTTTACTAAATTACTGACCTTGAATATATCAGATAGTTGTTAAAAGACCCGCCCACCTGCTCCGTCGTCATGTCGCCACGTAAAACTCAATGCAACGCAACTTGCTAGACCGATTTGACTGACAGCTAAACTGACCACTGCGGTTAATGCTACCAAGCACACAACCGAACTTGCTACCTAGCTGACTAGCAGCTAGCTGCCGACACAACAACAGCTGAGAGGAAGCAACGCCAGGAAAGCAGAGCAGATGAGATCCAGGATTCATAATAAGGTATGCAAGTGACGCATATAAGTATATGGGTTCATAATTCAGACATTGGTGTGATCAACAGTAACGTTGGCTGCGCTACTCAGACTAACAGCATACATCTATAGTTTAGGTGTTTGATTCTCATTAGCCAAAATATGTCAGTGGCAGTGCTAATGCTAACACCAGCAGCTTCCTCAGGATCAGGATGTAAGTAGCTAGCTAATAATGTGCAAGTGCCTTCAATAAGTGAAATGAGGAAGCTGGCCTCAAAACGAACCTCGTTAACCCAGGGCCGTGTAGCATGTGATTTCGCATACACTGTTTAACTTAAATAGTATTGTTTTATATATAAATGGTCTGACCTGAATTTTCCTCATTTCCAGATGTGTTTGAGCCGGGCCCTTCTCACCGGCTGGGTCTTGCTGCTGGTCCAGGTGCTGTGTTTAGAGGCAGTGCCCATCAGTATGGATAAAACAAAAGTCCACGTGCCAGAGAAAAAAGAACCAGAAGAGCCTCCAGCAGCTAGCGTGGTAAGACGACTCAAGATTTATACACATCACGATGCACACCATCATTCCACTTATCCTGTGTTACAGACGTTGTTTGTATCCCTAAAATGGGTCTCCAATTGCACATTGTTAGCAATAATAGAATAGCAAACAATTATTCTGTCTATTACCATGCCCAACTTTTGATCTAGTGTTGATAATTGAATGAGTGCCCTCTACCCTAATGCTATACAATTATGTCACTGCTATCAGCTGCTTTATAGGCAGTAAACAAGAGAGAGAGCACTGGGTAATAGCACTCGGAATAATTTAAAGAGTTATGGCCATATGTCTTGTTGCACTCACATTATATTACCCCAGTCAGATACTCCATTCAAAACTCATAATTACACAATTTAATTTCATCAGCAATACAAAAGCTCCAGATGTTGTAGCTTCATGAGCGCACAGATTGGATTCTCTAATGTCTGCCTTAGGATACATTTTGTCCATGATAAATATGTATATACTCACTTAAAAGAGCTTAAACAAATACCATGTAGAGTCTGTCTGAGGTGAGAATGCATACAACATCACAAATGCAACCTTTTAGTGAGGAATAAGCAAGTGGTCTAGAACTACCGAACAGCTGCAATGTATGGCAATTTGCTAAAGGCCGTTATACAGTTTATAGAAATGTATATGTAATAACCTGTCATCTCTACATAAAACATCTGGACAGAGGATCTGTTATGATGTTAAGCAGACACATATTCCCTGAAAGAAAATATTCTGTCACTCACTTACAGTCTTCAGTATAACAGATCTCTCAAATATGTGCTAATAATAAACTAAAGGTGATTATCATTGTAGTATTGCTTAGTCTGTTATCTGTGATATATGAAATGTTTTGGTGACATTTGATTTGTTACATTTGATAGGACACTGGACTCCACTATGACCGCTACCTCAGGGAAGTCATCGATTTTCTAGAGAAAGATCAGCATTTCAGGGAAAAGCTCCACAACACAGACATGGAAGACATCAAGGTATCCCGCCATTCTTTTGTTTAGTCCTTTCAGCATGGCTTGTGTTAAATTACCAATAACTTTTCTTCAGTTTTTTTTTATAACTTTGGCACCATTCTTTATGTTCAAAGTCAAGTGAAATGTATATAGCTCAATATCAGAAGTTTGTCAAAAAAACATTGAATTGGGAAAATGCAATATTACAAATATGTATATAACCATTTTATTGAAATATTTGATAAATCTATTTATTATATGTACTACTTCAACCCCAAGATGTAACCATCTCCAGCTAACACAAATTAATTCATGTATAATACAGCAAGGTAAACTGGCCAAAGAGCTGGACTTTGTCAGCCATCACGTCAGAACCAAACTGGATGAGTTGAAGAGGCAGGAAGTAAACCGACTCCGAACTCTGATTAAGGCAAAGCAAGACCTTGAAGGAGGGAACGGTATGTTGTGCAACACAATGTATATTTTACTTTTATTTAAATGCTACAGCTTTGATATTAAATTACATGTAAATAAAAAGATAATTCTATGATTTAACTATCGTTGTTTTTAATTTCTGTCATTGATTACTCCCTGAATAGACATAGCAGTGGACCACCAGGCTCTGCTGAAACAGTTTGAGTACCTGAACCACAACAACCCTCATACGTTTGAAGTGGATGACCTGGATCGGCTCATCAAATCGGTAAATCGGATGCTACTTTATGCCATAACATCTTGGAATAGGGATATGTAAACACTTACCGCTTATTATAACTGCCAATGACTTTAGTAAAGTAATTTGTCTAGTTTAGCGAACAACACTGTCTTTATGTATCCTTACGTAAGCTCTGCAGCTATTGTCTCATGAACTGTTCTTCATATTAGCATTAATGGTCAAGAAACTTTTTTTTAAGAAAGTAGAAAAGTTTATGCCAATTCCATTTGTCATTTGGGAATGAACAGCACCTTGAAGACAAGGGGCTGTTCATTCCCAAATGACACTGAAAAGAAAACTGATCCAATGAATGAATGGAACCTGAGATGAATATCATTAAACAGAGAGGAATATCATTAAACAGCACTATATATATATATAGGCATGCCGCTTCAAATATAAATAAGCTTAGTTGAGTTTCTAGGTGGGCTAAAAAAAAGAAAAATGGATTCCCTAAAAACTGTTAATAAGGACATTGCATGCTATTTACTTCATTTGAAAAAAAGCGTTATTTCAAACCCAATTTTCCCCTTATGTATCAAGGCAACAAATGATCTGGAGAACTTTGACAAAGACAGACACGAGGAGTTCAAGCAGTATGAGATGACGAAAGACCACGATAGACGGGAACACCTGAAGACACTGGACGATGACGAGAGAAAGAAAGAGGAGGAGCACTATGACGAGCTGAGGAAAAAGCACGCCGACCACCCTAAAGTCAACCACCCGGTGAGTCTGTCTCAGGTGCACACACACGTGACAACACACACTTATTTCTTTCAGCCAATTAAGGGAATCTCTTTCTTTGTACCATTTTATGTTCTGTTTCTGAAACTGTACATGTTTTTTTAGTCCTACCATGTGGGCTATCTACTAAATGTTTAAATTAGGGCTGTCAAGTTAACGCGTTAACGCAAAAAAAAAATTAACGCCACTAATTATTTTAACGCGATTAACGCATGTGTATTTTTGTCCTCGGCCGCCCCGTAGTTTCAGAGCGCATCGAGTTTAAAAAACCATCTACAAGCTGATGCTGACAGCCCCGCTCCTGCCGTCCGCTTGCGGCAGACCACACTTCCAAGCTCACCGGCAGGCCCGGGGACTGGCCATCGGGAGAACCGGGAGGGCGCGAGAGAGAGAGAACGCGCACATCTTACGTGTATTGTTGTTGTTAGCATCTGGTGCTAGCTAGCTGCGCTAACAGATATAAGGAGCTGTTTTAATGAAATCTCCTTTTCCACACGGCTAAGCTGCCAATAATAGTTGAAACAGAGCAATATTTGGCAATTTGTTTGGCTTTTCTCTTTGACATTCCAGCAATTCTCAGACCAATCATGGTGCATTTATATACATGGCCAAGACTTTCGAATATGAGTATGCTATATCTACACTTGTACCCAAAGCTGGTTATCACATCAAGCAGTGGTTGGTATTTGATAT